CAGAGAGGGCAATACCGTGGAACAAGGACAGACATATACGTGTGGTAAACAAGGAGAGCAACAATATTAGACAAGGACAGCAACAGATTTTAGTTCCACCGTTTCACCGCTACGCGACGCTAGCATTTGAATGTCCATAAATTGACTAAACTTTTATTTGCAAAAAAAACTAATTAGGAGGATTAATTCGTGAACTTTTATAATTGCGTCTTATTAATTGAACCTTAAGCTTTCTTCATATATTTCATTTAATCTAATGTACGATTAAATAATGATTTTCAAATTCCGGTGAATAGATCGAAACTTTCACTCAAATAATATTTAATTTTTTGCAAGTTTGGCGGAAAATTGCTAGTAAAATAAATAATATGTTACGAAAATAAACAGTGTATATCTTTAATCGATAATACAAATGCTAAAACATTCGAATATTTATAGTGAAGAGCAAAACTGAATCATCAACGATGAAAAGTTATTAAAAATTTCAAACTGTTATAATTTTGCAGTACAAAATCATTCATTCTAGTTGGTATTATTTGAAAGCGTAGAAATTCTACTTTAACACCACCAAATTAGTTTTGTTTCAGGAATGTTTTCTCACCATGTGTTAGATGGGAAAGTAAGGATACTTTTATTCTTAGAAATTGTCAAAATCCAACTGTCTCTAAAAGCATTAAAAAATTCTTTTTGTAATTAGATTTATAATAATCTTGAAGATTGAAGTTTCCCCTTTATAATGACCCCATAAAACTTGCTGTATGTTTTTTTTGAACTATTATATTGAACTTCGATTAAGATTAGACGACCTAAAAATCCAAGAGATCCTAACATTTCGTTATCTAACTTTAGTTTAAAATTCAATAAAATGGTGGAGAAAAATCATATAGCAAACTTTATAATGTCATTGTAAAGGAGAAATTTGTATCTTCAAGATCATTGCAGATTTAATTGTGGAAAAATTTTTTCAATGTTTCTAGAAGCGTTTGAATTTTTACAATTTTCACAAATAAGAGTATCTTTTACTTTTCTTCACTTTCTTTCTCTGCTGCTTGATGTAAAAACATCTGTTGAAAAAATAGATTCAGAATCATCAGAGGAGACCAAATAGATTCTTACTAAGTTATAACAGTTTAAAGTATCGATAATTTTTCATGGTTATTAATCCAGTTATACTCTTCGCTCTATTGTTAACTTATACTCTATACTCTGTTGTTAATGATAAAAAAATCAACTAAAATATTCGAATGTCAATCAAAATACTTACCAATTCAAGTAATTTAAACAGACCACTCCATGATTTTAAGTAACCGGTGTTGACAATAATTGCAGTGGAACTGCTCGTTACTGTTTGAGTTCTAATGGTCACTGAGTGTGACATTGTCATTTCCTTCTTCGCTCTCTGAAATTTTGAAAGAATCACACAATTATAATTGTCTGGTGAAAAACACAACTGCGGAATATATATTTAAATGTCCAGGGGAGTCCCTGGACAGAAAGAAGGCCAAGGATAGAAATTTTCGAGGCGTAACCTACATTTCATCAACAGGCTCTCCCCTTTCACAAAGCTTCTTATTTATTCCAAGAAGACTTGCACTTGTGTTATACTAATTTCATTTTTGCATGTATCATGTTACGTGCAAGCGCAGTGATGAATAAAAATAGAATGTGCGATTGTAATGTATGAAAAAAGAAAAAGAATTGCCGATGCTTTCACTTTCGTTTTTGTTCTCGTTTCGGAGCACCCTTAATGTTTGGTACGGATCAATAACACGTCCTGATTGTCGGGATTCGACTTTCCCTTTCGGTATTTAAAGATACCGAAGAAAAAGATAGATAAAAATGACATAATAAACGTTGTGTCTTTTTCATTACACCAGAATATAATTAATTAATTTGTATTTTAACTGTCACAAAATATAATTGATACATTTTGATGTTGACACGAATATCATTACACAATTAATGAATTAATGAAATACAAATATAATTAATTTAATTTAACTTTTAGTGATATCACTGAATGTTAGAATCATTTTTTGAACGTTAGTTTCATTTAACTTCAATCATTGATACAAAATAGAATTAAATATTCGAAAATTTTTATAATCTCGTATAAATTATGAGACAATAGTCATTGTACATAACTCAATTTGAAAGTTAAATAAATAGACCAATAAAAATAATACAACTAAATATAAAATGAATGTCTGTTTAACGTAATAAATGAGGAGAAATTTTCTTTAAATGCACGACAGTAATGAAAGAAAAGAAATTTTTCTAAAAAAGAAATTTTTCTAGAAAAGTAACTGTGATGAACATTTCGTATATGAATTAATTTTCATAGTTCATTCACCACAGGCCGATATTTTTTTGAGAAATTCGAATTACGAATACACCCGAATTAGCGCGGCTACGAATAAACACGTAGGAAATTTCGTCATCGGTTATTTTTAAATGAAAGCGTGTCTAAGAAAAATAATATGATAACGGTGCTGAATAATCGTTCGAAACTTCTGTCAACTCTTATTCTTAACTCGTTTATCTCGTTATTCTTGTAATTGCAGAAATCATAATGAAAAACAATCGAATTCCACGAACAAACATAGCGATGTTCGTCACGTTTCTAAAAAATTTAAGATAAGAATAATATCTAACACGAAGCTTAATGCGAATCAATTTCAAATTACTGAAATGCGATTGATTTGAGTTTCGACAAATATACTTTTAAATTTTTGTCTTTCTTTTCATTGATCAAGCTATTCAAATAATATATAGATCGTAGATTTTTATAAATTATCTGTTGTGAACTTTGAAGGAGCAAAAATGTATACACTGCATGTTCTACGAAATGTATAAAAAGATTCAGTATAAAATACGTAAAATATCTAAAATACAACGCACGTAATGTATACGACTCATGTAATGTGCAAAAATATACAAAACATAAAAAATATCCAAAATACAACTTTCTATAACATCTGTTGCCATCCAAATTTAAAATTTATTTCCCGAAGAATCCACAGCCTACTAGTAATTCTTATGCACTTTCATATTTTTTTAAGTACAATTAAATAAATGATGCCTAAGCATAAATTTCCTGCAACAAGTATCTACTCTATTTTCGATGTTTTATACATTTTTGCATACTGCAAAATAACACCGACGATAAGAAATTATATTATTAAAATGTGTGTCGACGAAATTGTACTACACCGATTCACAATTCACAGCCGGCAATATTATATAGTAGGTGGGATGTGTGTATACAAGTCTCACACTGACCTTAATAAGGTACGTGATCCCGCCTTGAGCGTCTGCGGATGACTGAAATGTACAGTGCACATTTACCACGCGATACCAGAAGTGACGTCATTGCTGATATCATAGTTGAATCCGTCTTCGTACCGAAAGGACGTGTGGCACTCACGTATTACATATACAGGGTGTCTCGATAATTTTTTCCACCTTAAATATCTCCGTTATTTTTGTCCATGATATGGTAGTAAGGATTTTTCTTTGTAGGTTTTGTCCACTCTATCATCTTCATATTTTTTTTTTTTTTTTAAGTAAAACGATATATTTTTTTATCCATTAATCGATGCAACTTAATCTGTACATGTACTAACACTTAAACAAAGAAAGAGAAAGAACGTAAGAAGATGCAAAGTCACAAATTTACGTAAAATACCAAATAATTTAGGCATTTATTGGAATAATTGATTGAATTTTAATGATGTCTTTTATTATTCTTGGAATTTTTGATCATTTTTATTATTATATATTGTCTTTTGTTGTGCACGCTTCATGAATTCGTATTCTTTATTGACTGGGACTTTTTCTTATCTTTTGCACTTTCATTTATCTGACACAAGATTTATAATTTAAACGTAGATCAACTGGTATTAAAAAAACTGACTGCAACTTTTTGGGATTATTTCACAGTTTTTTTAACAATTTAATGGTTAATATAGCCATTTTACCGACGTTTATAATCTTACAGAGAAGCTATGATGTATTAAGACGTTTCTATAATTTCTTCTACTTGAGTCACCGACAATCAAGTAAGAGGAGATGTGAAATAATGTTAGAAATTTCAAAGACAATGTCAAAAAACGAACATGTATTTCAATGGTAATGTATACAGAAAAAAAGTACAATGTATTCAAAAATTGTCATTCACGTAGCAACGAACATCAATGAACGTATGTAAATTACATAAGAATTCTTTTATGAGTGAGAGACAAATAAAAAATAGAGAGGAAAGAAAAAAAGAAAACGATGTAGAGCGTTCAGTTTGTGCAAATATATTATCTATATAAAACAGATATGTATATATATATATATAAACGTATAATAACTAGACTGCGGATTTTTATGCAATTGTGGGAAATTTAACTTGTGATTTAAATTTAAATGCTCCTTTAACTTTTGCAATCGATGAATGCAGGATCTCATAGTAATCAATTTCTCATTTTAAGATTACTAAGGAATTGTATATGTATTATACAGTCCAATTTCAGTAGTTAAATCTCAAAGAAAGAGGGAAAAAAATCTTCGAATTATGAAGGTTTCGTTTTATCAAGTTTTCAACCAAGAGAAATTTAATAAACAAAAATTCAATTTATACGATAATTTTTCAACTGGTATGAAAAAAGAGACTTTCTCTTTTAATTTTAATTACCAAGTTTCGATTAAATTAAAACATAGAACTGTAAAATGATACGTAACTATAGTAACAGATTGTGAATTTGAGACGACAGTTATAAAAAATTAACAAAGTAAAGGCGAGTGTATTCAAACATCTGTCATTCGCGGTCCGAGGATACGAGAAAATATAGAATACACAAAAATGTATAAAACATCCAAAATGCAATAATTACTGTAGGTGAAACAAATCTATGTCTAGATCCTATTTCTTCAATTACCTTCGAAAAAATATGAATTTGCATAAAAATCCGCGGTCTGATAGTAACTAATGCGTGTATCGATATAAATAAAAAGTATCGCGGTAATGCGAGAAAGGTACGGTTAGAAAATTGTGGACGGGAAGTGCCGCGTAAGGTACATTAACGACCAAAATATAACAATTCAATTCCATCCAAAAACGAACATTCGACATCCAATATGGATTTCATCGATTTCGAAGCACAGTTTACTTTTAATGAGTAACGTCTGCTAATGCCTTTCTTATTTAACATGTATGTATGTATATCTGTTTGTACAGTGAAAAAAGTTGAACCGCGTAACGAAGAGAATCCACGAATCTCATTGAAACAGAAACCTTGAGGAATCGTTGACATCTCTTCGGCGCAATAACCCGTCCTGGACCAGCGGTGAATTATAGTGATCAGACAAATATCGATATTATTGATGATATTCCATAAATTCCAATAAATATTCAATGGAAAGAATAAGATATTATTGAAATTTTAAGTTAAGTTAAGATATTCATGCTGTCACATGTTGGATCGACATCAAAAATATACCTCGAAATATTTTCGATCAAACACAAATATTTGAAGGTATTCAAAAGCATTGAAATCTTTCGTACAAGTAAATTGAAACAATTGACTTTATATTTCCCTGTAATTCGAACAAACAGAATAATATTTTATACTCGAAGGATTTCAGTGTTTTTGACTATGTAAAATATGATATAAATATGATACTTCTGCTGATGTGTTGAGACTTCGGCAAATGTTTTTTAATAATTTGTATCCAATATTTTTTAAACTGTAGAAACGTAGACAGTGACAAAAGTGTGCATACATCCATCAAATTTCAAATATTTAAGACAGAAAAGGAACGATTTTCGATATTTTAGTTATCAGTCAAAGTTTTTAAAATATAGTTGTTTCAAAAGACACATTAATATACATACATTTATTTACAATAAAACAATGTATTCACAGTAATTGATCTCGCGGTATTTTGTTCTAATTTATGCAAGTATTTCAGCAAGCAAACATCATTATTGTTTTAAAATTTGTATAACTTCAATAGATAGATAAACTAGCATCTGTAAAATGTTGAAAGTTTCTTGAAATATTTGAAATTTACAGATATATGTATGTAGACTTTCATATTACTGAAAGGAATCATTACACTTTGCAATTGATCAAATTAATTGCTTTTATCTTCATATATGTGAATGAATATCAATACTTTCATACAAGTATGAAACGAGTATCAAAAACATCAAACGTATCTATATCTTAAATAATACACAACACGACATCGTAATTTGTGCACCAGTATCGATAGTTTCGCTTCAATATTAATCTGATCATTACTATTCGCTTTTGTTCTCCGATTATTCTTAGCGAGCATGATCCCAGAAAACCGTAATATTCGCAAACATCCGCCGATCTAGCAATGTGATCGGCCACTCGATCGATATTTTTAAGGCACGTATGTATATTACAGAGTCTCTCGTTAAGCTACTACACACGTGAATGGACAAGGGCCTGGTTGGACTAGCTTCGACCCTTTGGTCTCTCTACGATCTTATTGTTGCTCGTAGAACGAACGATCGCAAAAACTTAGAGTGTAGTAGCTTCGTCGTAGGTGCTCTTCAGGTACCTTGGCGTCTCTACGAGTATCCTCTGCTTTTCTTCACTGCGTGTTGCTGCTCTTGTACTCGAGGTAGAGGAAATACGTTCCGGCAGCGTACGCTATCGTGTTGAAGATTCCAAAGGTCTGCGCAAATAGTAAAGGAATTTTTATTATCGTGTTCGTCGTCGATTTGACGCGCTCGTTAATAGGTGAAAATCGGTTTTACGACTTCCACCGAATCGTTAATTCATTAAGGACCAAGCAATGATTTATATCATAAATTTTTTCTAAAATTTCATAAAACTACAGAATTGGTATCGAATTTCTTCTTTTCATAGCTAAGGTATACTCTTGTTCTTACCCCTGCAGCAATATTCCTCGAAACATGTGAACCTGTATATGAGCTCCAAACAGATAACTGAACTATAAAGGCAATCAGATAAAGGAAGGTGAATATCCCTGTATTTATAAATTCCTGAAATTAAAAATGCCTTACAGGTACGAGGTAAAATTACGTTCATAATACAAAGGCGAAATTTTCTATGTATTCTCGACGTGTGCGTCAAAAATTTTCCGACTAGATCAAAATCTGCTTGAAGAACACGAGATTTAATTGTAATTAAAGAGAACACGACATTTAATTGTAATTTATCTACAAATTTATCTACAAGATTATCTTACTATCTCTCCATAATTTATCTACAAGTGCATCTGACGTGCGTGCGTTTGACACTTATAGAAAATTCCGCCTTAAGAATTGTTTTAAAAGTTTTACTTACCGATGAAATCCAATTTATAGGTAGCTTAAGTGCCTCTCGAATTGACAGCAGATATATGAAACACCATACCAGAGTGGCGATGAAAGCTGTTACAGCGACAAATAGGAACCAATGAGTCCCACTTACCAGTGCCGGTGAGGCGCATGCCATAGATATTATACCAAGACCCTGAAACAAATTATTCCTTTAATTAAATGATTTTCAGTATCGAGTTGGAATTTTAATACTTCCGTGGATGAAATATTTAATAATAATGATACGCTGTGGACGAGATACACTGGGAGTTGATATTTTTTAAATTCTTGTAACTTTGTGAATGAAACTGGTACAATGCGATGGGTTTAGTTACGAGTTTTTCAGTGTTCAAATACTATAACAAAGCATATCATAAATAATACAAGTGGTTCTGTGAAATATTTATCATCTATGATATATTTTACGACAGGTGAAAATGTTCAAAATCATTTGAATTTGAATCTTTAATTTCAATTTTTATTAACGTCAAAGATCTACGTTTACAGTTTAAGAGTCATCATAAATATGTTTATATAATAAGATTTAATTTACCGTTATTTCCATTTTTGCATGCAAATAGGAAAAAAAACGTTTGCACAGCTCAAGAAGCTAAATTATTTGCTAACATTTCATTAGCTTTACATCGTATCTCGTCAAATTTCCGAACATAATATTCCACCGATTTTCCACGTTCTACCGAGATAGATTCCTTAAATTCTAAATCTTCCACTCTCGGTTCGAGAAGTTTCGAAAATTTCGCAGACAATGCATTCAAAAAATAATCATTCCTATGATCGATCTTATCTCGAACTTTCCGCAGCCTCGCCTCTTTTTCAGCTTGCAGAGCAACGAGAGGAATCCGTTTTTCTTCAAGCTCCGAAGGGACCAAATTCTTTTTACTTAAAAGAACCTTCTTCATCCTATCGAATTCCTTCGACTTCCAAGCAACGTCTTTCGGAATCGGTACGCTCCTCGCCCTTTTCTCCGCTTGCAGCCTCAAACGCTCCTCCTGTTCTCTCCTAAATCTTTCCCTCGCCTCTTCAGCTTCTCTTTTAGCCTGTTCCTCTTTCCTAGCCAATCTCTTCGCCACCACAACCGGATCATTAGCTAGAAAATCACTTTGCCAGCTGGCGAAAAGCTTCTTTTTCCGCGTTTCTCTCCAAACGTATTCCTCAAACCACTCCATTTTCCCGACCATACTTTCATCACGTGAAACGTCTGGTTCTGCAAACGCACGAAACAATCCTCCGCCGTCACCTACGCCTATCATTTTGAAACCTCCGTCACTTAATACAGGTGAGTCTAACAAAGTCAGACAACTAATCGATTGCAACGATACGACTTGAGTAAATATCGGCTGATTAGAATCGTTTTTTATATTCCATATCTCGAGATTCCCGTCTTGACTACCGACCAAGAATACACCAGGTTCGTTAGCCCAACAACAGCTTGTATATCAGGAAAATGTTCTTCTCCAGAATAGGGGAGCGTCAACGTGATCGTCGCTCCAAATGGCAAACACTTGTCCGCCGATCGTCAAGAGTACGTTCTGAAGATAAAACGATCGCGTGATCTCTGTCACGGGACCGTTGTGCGCGTAAGCACATCTCACAATGTCTGAATCTTTCTCCAATGTGTTTTTCCACGTACACGTTATTAGCCCTTCTGCACAACCTATCCACAGATATTTTGTTGCACGATCTTTCTCCGTTGCGTCATACTTATTCCCGTCTGCTGAGCTCTCATCGCGTTGTGCAGTGACGGACGGAAAGCAGAAACACAAAGGAGTGAATTGTGAGTTCTCGTTGGAAGATTGGATCTTCATGCGAGAATCTGGTTGAAGAGGTTCGTCAGAATCGTCGGCACCTTGAGTAAAAGGTCTCGAGAGGACAGAAATATTCCAAACAGCCACCGTACAGTCTTCAGAAGCAGTCAGAAGCTTCATACCGGACGAGAGTGACGACTTTGTCAAGTTTCCATTTGGCTCTGTCTCGTGTTTGGCCGGTATCCACTGAATCTTTCGAACAGGTAGGTGATGAGAGCGATGTTTGTCGGAAACAAGGATCGGACGAAACACTGGTAGAGTGTCTCGCGTCAGTGTTCCGAGTTTCAAGTTTCTATTGTCACGATTATTCAAAAAATCCTCGATATTCCAAATAACCAACTGACCGGTTGAACAACCTCCTATTAACAGATTATCGTCGTGAGGGCAGAAAGAAATAGAATAAATTTCCCTGTGGTCCTGAAGCGCAAGTTTTGGACGAAATGGATCGTCTAATTTCCAAAGTAGCACTCTCGTCTGAAACTCATTCTTCTTTGTACATCTATCTTCCTGATTACTATTCAAAAATTTTGGATCACTCGTGTACAAAATTGCTATGTACTCTGTCAATTTGGGATGCAAAGAAACATCAGAAATGTATCTGTTAGCTGTGATGATATCTAAATCGGCAAACGATACCTGTTCGTGAAACACAGATATTTTAAGCATTGTTGAAATATCTTCCTTTTCCGTGGATAAACTATCAATGTCATCAATATACAAATTAATAGCCGCGTTACATTTAATTGTACTAATCATCTCCTGTGAACGAGCTTCTAAAAATAATTCCAAAGCTGTTTTCTCCCCGAGTTCTTCATTTTCCTCGTTCTGAGCAGCGTCTTTCTCTTGCGACTTGTTCTCGCCGTTCTTTTCCGAGTCTTCCTTCGACTGATCTTCTTCCTCCTCAGTATTTTCGACCATGAACTCGCTCAAAATATCTTCGTGCGTATACTGAGTCCATGCATTTTTCGGATATTCGGGACACGTTTGAACGGATGTCTCTCGTGGTTGCAGACACGTCTGAACCGCTCTGCAAATGCATTTTCTATTGACGTTCTCGAATTTCTCGCCTTCGTTAACGAGCTGAGCATAACTGTCTCTAGAGTCGTTCGCGTTTCTGTTGCACAGCGTTCGAGAAAAATTCAAATGGTTTCCAGGTAGAACGATCTCTACTTCAAAAAATTCCCTCGAATTCCTCACAAAGGTTTCGTCTACTTCCGAATCACTTCCCAAGGACTTCCATGATCTAACAGTTTTTATTACTTTGTTGATAACTTTGCTCCAAATGAAACGAGTGATATTTTTATTCCGTTGTCGAACAAGGTTTCTCGCTTTTACGGTCAGACAAATCACAAACTCGTCAGAGTTCAATTGAGTAGATGAGTAGCCTACGAGGAACGTGTCAGCCTCGTAAATTTCGATGTCTTCACAAAACACGGATAAAGAGGAATCAGGCGATCTAGCGAGCTTGGTGACAACGCCTCGGTGCACGTACGCCCACGGATATTCCAGAAACACGTGCTCACCGACTAAACAACCCAGTTCCCGTTGCGTCTTGGGATCGAGCCTCACGCGTTCCACATTTTCGATATTTTCGTCGACCAGCGTCCAACCGTGCTGATACTTAACCCCTTTCCTCCGCATCTCGTATTTCTTTACGACCGTACGGTACGATGCTTAGACTGGAGGTATCGTGCATCGATCAAACTTTCCTACATTCTAGAAACCAACCGGATTTGATTATTCTACGTCAAGTTCTGCTTAGGCTGTAATTGTATTCATAAAAGTATGAAATTGAATAAAAATCCATAATTACTAGTTCCCAGGTATTCAAGTAAATAATTAATTATTCTTTTCTCTTATAAATATGATTCATAGCTGATGGATTGATAAAGTCAGCAAGAAATCATAGGTACAACTATTGAGAATTATTATTTTCAAAATTATAAGGAGGCTGATTATGAAGGTTCATACTGTAATGTAATGATATGAAGATTATAAGATTTTATATTATTTTATCATTTAATGAAACATAATTGAGAACGAAAACAACCTGTCAGATTCAAACATATGATTCTTTAAAAACAGTTGATTAACGAAATCTTGCGACAGCAAAAATATAATTATGCAAGCAATATTTTAAAGACCATGAAAGTTTAGTCTCGAAACCAAATAGGAAGACAATTTTGGTATTACATATTAATTAGTTAATTAATTAAATTTTGAAATAATCTTGATACTTGGTTTTCTTAGTATCTATTTGGTACTGTGCACCAATCGATTGAATTTTAACAACTGGTTTCCTGATAAAAAATAGAAATTCTGATTTATCAAATTTCTTCCCCGCTGCACATTTCAACTATGAACAATCTTCGAATTTCAACCAGCAACGATAACATTTCGAAAGTCACTTAGCCTACGAAAGCTTAGAATAGTGTGTGAGCCGCGTTAGCGTTAAATTTAAATATGAATGTATACATAATGCGTGGAGACCGGAATGTACGAAAGGGTGAACGGGCGCGAAAGTGCGAAGGATTGGAACGTTAGAACCGCATACACCGAATGAAAAATTTCACTTTCACCGACGTTTGAAAACGTCGTCGACCGCGATAAACGTTCGACTAAGAATTCCTAACATCGATAGTCCATGCAACGACCGTACAAGTTATTAATATTAGCGACAGCCCAGTCGCTCGGATCAGCCTAGAAATATCTACAAGTTGAATGTTTTTCTCTTTTTCTTCTTTTTTTTTCTATTAATGTCTATTCGTTAGGAAGTATTTGTTCAATTTGGTCAATGCGGTTGAAACGGAATAACGATTCTTAAAATAGCTTCAGAGAGAATAAGTAGCTGTTAGAAAATATAGGTCGGAGTTCTGCACTACTCATAGGAGGGAGTGATGCCAACGTAGTATGCCACTTTTAATATACATACATAACATTAACGATGATAGCGGCGAACCATCTCATTCACTTAAACCAGCAGATATGCAATTGATGAGCAGCGGACTGAAACATAACATCGCAGTATCGATGCGCGACAGCGCACGCATTTGCTGACACGATGATTTTCGCATTTGTAATTAGAAGCTTTATGCTTTTGCTATAGCGATTGGTTTTAAGGAAGTACCAACAATCGTATTCGGGCAAATTGTATCTAAAGTAATGGTAAAAGATAACGGATTGAAATAATGTGCCATTTTTATTTTAAAAGTAACATGAATAATTTTACTTCAAGTAAATCATCTTTTACCTTAATTAATTCTTTTGTAATCTGTCATAATTTGAATTGGCCGAAATACAGAATGGACGCGAGACAATATGCAACGAA